GTGTGATGCGCCGCGCGCGAATTGGGCGGAGTGACCTACTTTCGACGGACACGCGCAACGGACGTTCTCCCCAAAGAGAGCGTCTTGTTGACCATGTACATAGAACGGTAAGTAGAAATGCATAGCATTAATAAACATTCATAGTGAATTGGTCAGTGAGGAAAAGGGTCAGTCTCAAAATTGTTCGGGTCTACACCTTTGATCGCTGACGTTCGTATCCCTTTCTCTAAAATGGTTTGACGGGAGCGCACAATTCACAAGTTTAAGCCGTCAACCACTTATTTCACTCATTTCCACAAATTAAGTAGGAATCGTTCAAGCCCTTCATTGACTATAATAGGGCAAACAGATCGAAAGCTTGACCTCAAGCACGTGCCTCCGTTCTGGCACTTGTGATCGCGACAGAACCTCGTGTCCGCCATACGTTCACATCGTTTGCCAAAGTGGGTAGGAGGACAGCTACATATGAACCTAAATAAGCTAAGATGTAGCGGAGGTGTGAGTACCCAAAATCAGTTGCTCCAGCTGTTTAACAGTAACTATAGAAAACATCCAATTGGATTTTTAATGACTGGCGACCCCAGTAATTAAGGTCAACACTACTCGACTACATTGCGAAACTCACTCGCCGTCTCGATTAGTGCACTTCCCCTTGTTCAGGCACATGTCTTTAGAAGCTTTGCATGGATCATAATCAGTTTTTTCTCGAACCATTGGTGCACGATCGTCAGCTGCATCCAACTTCGGTGGCGAAGGAAGACTGATGCCGCTGGACTCCAGACTTTGATACTTATCCAATTCTGGAAAAGCGTCAGAAAAAAATAACAGATTTGCTGCCAAGATGCCGTTTACTGCTTGCAACTGCAACTGTTTTGTGCAACGGTTGCAATAACGATGCAGCACCAGATTGGGGATGCTCTCTGCACCGATCTTGCATCTTACTAGGGAAAGATCAACGTTCTTGGAAAAAAGTTCTTAAAACGAAATTCACAGTGGCTCATTTTCAGCGCTGAAACCCGCTGATCTCAGCTACCTGACATTCCGACTATATTTCATCATAAGAATTCATGCTTTTATTTAGAAGTATGATAAACCAGTTATCAAAGCCTTATACGGTTGGTGGAGAGATGGCCTGCACCTTCACTGCTTCACCACCTATCGCTGAACCCCAATCGTCAAGTGAAAAACCGAAATTCAGTTCGAATGTGTAGCGAGTGACCATAGAGGAAGGCTGTTTTCTTACATGGTCATTTTTATTTGGGCGTGCTACTCTGCCCACAGCAGTACGACGTCCTCTATGTATGTAACACTTCGTATATTGTAAATGTTGACCTTTGTATCAGCAGTGAATCATGAGACAATGAATAGGAGAGGGATCAGTCGCATTACCACCCACTTAGGTAGTATCTATGCATCCTGCAACGATCCTAGATCACATTGTCAAAGATATTACGCCCAGTCGGTCCACGCGGTCAACGCCGTGCTTCATTGAGAGTTCCAGATTGGTGCCGCTAATGTCCCTGTCACTGCACTTACCCTTCATTTTTGGCACCTTACTCTACACCGTTCCATCTTAACACTCAAAGCTACATACCGAAGGGTTAGGATTTCGGTCGCTACGTTGCTCTCGCTCTTTTAGGCCCCTTATCTTCTCTCGTCAGTTGTCATTGGTTCCTGTCGCCGAGTAAATACGATCCCGTCATATCCTACATCACTTATTAAAATGCTCAGGTTCCACTGTTAATGGGGAAAGCCTCGATCCTAGGAAATTCGAACTCTTAAGGTCCACGGGAGAAGGAGTTATGAACATCCGTTCAACAATCCATTTCGCGCAAACCCCGCCCCCTTTAGGCGGAGGCCGACCTGCCACCCTCCATAACAGGCCCCATCCTGCCGCCTGTAATCCTAGTGAGTTTCAACGCTCTAGGTTCAAATTGACAATTCTCATGCAAACCCCACTCGCTCTGGAAGGAAACTGGACCTGTTACCTGCCATAAGTGTTCATATCCAACCGAATTTCAACGCTCTAGGAGCAGGTAAACAGGAGTTATGAAATTACAGTCGAAAATATCTATCGCGCAAGCCCTGCTTCCTGTGGGCGGAGTCTGGTTCTACTACCCGCCATGAATGTTCTCATGCTGCCGCCTGTGCTCCTATCAAGTTTGAACACTCTAGGTACACGGGTGCGTTATGAATTTCCGGTCAAACACATACACACCGACACACACACCACACGACAAACCAGCAGACACACTCAGCAAATTATAAATGGTAGGATAAGAGGAAGGGGGGAGGGGGGGGGGGGNGGGGAAAGGAGGGTGGGGGTTGATACTTTCCCACACACATTTAATGGACCGCGCCAGGATGACTGCCGTTTGAAAGAGCATTGCATTCCCACCATTAGTCCGAGACATCGTTTAAAGCTGAACCTGCTGATCTTCTAGGAGTGAGCGAATTAGGCAATATACGGCCCGATAGCTAGTAAGTGAAAAAGCAGGCAAGATCATTTTGAGATATGAGAGCATTTTGTCTCACTCCTTTGACAGATCTCTACATATTTTCCTTGTCTTCGAAGGCTCGAAGATGATGCAGAGAAAAGGATAGTGTTTCCACTCTTATCACTACTTGCTGAGTATCGGTAGCATTGGGGAAAGTCTCTATCAAAGCAGTCATTCATTCAAAGCAAAATCACAAAGTGAAAACATCTCTGTCAATTACAAAGCAGTAACTTGACGTGTCGGTTTGTGTGTTTTTCGGTTTGTCTGTCTGTCCGCACGTGAAACTCGATCATCACGATAAAGGCAGCGATATGAAAAGTTCTCTAACTCTACCACCTCGTCCTACATTTCCTTCTTAGTAGGTAAAACAATAACTTGGTGGGTAGCTTATTGGAGCAGAGTGAGTACTGCGGAGTGAAGTGAGTAATGTAAAGTGGAGACTTCAAAACTGTGTACTGTGCTTTGTAAGTAAATCTATACATAAAACGGAGGTGATAATAGTTGGGAGACCATCGCTTTTTTCAACATTAACCCATTGGCGACCGCGCCTTTTATAATGTCCTTACATTAACTTTTAATTTCTCTTGTAACTGTAGTTGAAGATGAATGATTCCTTGACCACAGTGCCTCAAGATTCTCTAGAAGGCTGTAAGCTCAGCTGATACTTGAAAACATGAAAAAATTATAAAAACACTTGATAATTAATATAAATACTACAGGAGCACGAAATGGTGTGGCCCACCGGCGGGCCACGCGGTCGTTAATGGGTTTAGCGCTAGTGTGCAGAAAAGAAGATTAGCCCATTATTGTGCTTAGTAACGTTTCTTAGCCGAGAACATACAGTTTTTCCACCTAAGCACCGGGGTGGGTGAGTCAATAAGATGTTCAACTCGTATCCCACACTAGTTTTTCGCACGAGGTAATAATCTCACCACGGCGCTCCTTCCTCTTGAGGCTCAGGTGAAACAAATATTAGTCCGCCTAAAAATGTCTTTATGCACAGGCAAAGTCGGCTACCCTTCCTTTTGAACACGACCCTTAGTGTTGAATACATGCGATGCCCTTTCCCTTTAACTACATAACCTACACTTTATAAAAGAAAAGAATGAGGCTCGGCATAAGTCGGGCGACTGGTAACTACTGGTAACAAAAAACAATATATGTAAGCGCCAAACTTCCAGTAAGCAATAAAAACACAAATGACAAGAAGTTGAAATCAAGATTTTATGCCATTCTACTGCATCACTTCTTGGAAGGGATTGGAAGGCTCTAATGATCTTCTAGCTCAGCGGCTACAACTCATCCTATCTTATCACGATTAATGGCGACTATTTTGCCATCAGCCAATTTATTCGAAGTTTAAGAAATGTGAGTGACACACCTACACGCAAAACAGGGCTCATGCTGAATGCTTCCGCCTCCGCACCACTCCTCAAACAATATTGTAACTCTCTACTTGCACGCATTTAATATCGCATACTTTGCCTCTCGAATTTTGAATTTGATGCTAAATACAGACGACTGTAAAATGGTGCAGTGATAGAGATCATTCCTTGAGCCTCGATCGCAACTTTAGTGGAACTCCTCGCTCACATTTCCGTCACCGCATAGAAAAAACGTTACACAAGGTAAAGCTAAGTCAAATAAGCTGAGATTCGGCAAACGGTGCCATCATACTTTTTGATCACTCTTCGTATTTCTCCTTATCCTTCATGATTTTGTTTTTCCAGCTCCAACGAGATCGTCTACGAAACGCAATTGAATTCGATCTCACAGAAGTATTGTCGACGAGTCGACGAAGCTTCAAATGATGTGATCATAATTTGACTGTTACCTTTAATTGATTTAGGTGTACTGTAGACGCAATTGTTAGTAGTGATTCATCGTCGTATGCAACA